ATTGAAGTTCTATATTCACATGGATAAATTATGAAAACCCCCGCAACTTAGGCCAAATTAAGAAAAACACTCCCACATATTCGTAATATTTATTTTCGTTTAAAATTATTTGTAAAATAAAATTATTTACTTTATAATATTTATAAGAATCTAATATTTATTCTATATCCCTATGTTTTTTTTTTTTGAAATCACAATATATTGGACTAATTTACATAAAAATTCAATTAATTTTTATTTTTCCATTTATTTATTTAAGCATTTTATAGTAACTTTTCTTTACTTGAAATTGGATCTATTTTCATTAGCATCGATCTTTATTTTAGTTTCTAACATATGGTCACACATGTAAATAAATTGAAGTTGTATATTCACATGGATAAATTATGAAAACCCCCCCAACTTAGGCCAAATTAAGAAAAACGCTCCCAATGTTTTTTTCCAAATTACACCGACAACCTTACGGTATGATTTTTCAAGAATTCTTTTTTATTACATGGAATATTTCCTGAAAAATGCGATTTTACCCTGCAGACGCGACATTTCTTTATGGTACTTTTTAAAGACAAAAATACCCTTGGGGACTTTACACGGAATCTTTATGATTTTTAAATAAAACATTCACAACTTTTTAGTATTACCATTACGTTCCTTGAGGGAATTTTTATATTGAAAAAAGTAGGATAAAAGAAAATGCCACGTCTGCATAGGTATAATCCGCATTTTTTGGGATAATACATGAAATAAAAAAGATTCCGTACAAAATCAAAGCATAAGGGGGTCGTGCAAGGCATAAACAAACATTAGGAGGATTTTGGTAATTATTGATAGGTGGGGGTATTTTTCAAAATTTAGCCTATGATTAGGGGATTTTTGTAATTTAAACAAATATTATTGTTCGTTTTACGCCTTAATATTTTCTTATACCCTTACAATATTTAAAAAAAAATTGATGTCAATTTGATAAAATAATTAAATATTAATTTTTAATATATTTTATTATGTGTTTTTTGATGTTTTAGCTACCACACATAAGAAATTTGGTATCAAGGTTGCATGATTGAATTTAACAGTAGTTTCGCAAGGGATAAATTATGAAAACCCCCGCAACTTAGGCCAAATTAAGAAAAACACTCCCACATATTCGTAATATTTATTTTCGTTTAAAATTATTTGTAAAATAAAATTATTTACTTTATAATATTTATAAGAATCTAATATTTATTCTATATCCCTATGTTTTTTTTTTTTGAAATCACAATATATTGGACTAATTTACATAAAAATTCAATTAATTTTTATTTTTCCATTTATTTATTTAAGCATTTTATAGTAACTTTTCTTTACTTGAAATTGGATCTATTTTCATTAGCATCGATCTTTATTTTAGTTTCTAACATATGGTCACACATGTAAATAAATTGAAGTTGTATATTCACATGGATAAATTATGAAAACCCCCCCAACTTAGGCCAAATTAAGAAAAACGCTCCCAATGTTTTTTTCCAAATTACACCGACAACCTTACGGTATGATTTTTCAAGAATTCTTTTTTATTACATGGAATATTTCCTGAAAAATGCGATTTTACCCTGCAGACGCGACATTTCTTTATGGTACTTTTTAAAGACAAAAATACCCTTGGGGACTTTACACGGAATCTTTATGATTTTTAAATAAAACATTCACAACTTTTTAGTATTACCATTACGTTCCTTGAGGGAATTTTTATATTGAAAAAAGTAGGATAAAAGAAAATGCCACGTCTGCATAGGTATAATCCGCATTTTTTGGGATAATACATGAAATAAAAAAGATTCCGTACAAAATCAAAGCATAAGGGGGTCGTGCAAGGCATAAACAAACATTAGGAGGATTTTGGTAATTATTGATTGGTGGGGGTATTTTTCAAAATTTAGCCTATGATTAGGGGATTTTTGTAATTTAAACAAATATTATTGTTCGTTTTACGCCTTAATATTTTCTTATACCCTTACAATATTTAAAAAAAAATTGATGTCAATTTGATAAAATAATTAAATATTAATTTTTAATATATTTTATTATGTGTTTTTTGATGTTTTAGCTACCACACATAAGAAATTTGGTATCAAGGTTGCATGATTGAATTTAACAGTAGTTTCGCAAGGGATGACCTAGCAGTTGGAGCAAGTGAGCATGTGTCAATTGACCCAGGTTCAAATCCCCTTCAACGGTCGCTAGGTTGAGCTTGTCACACATGGTTAGCCTAGTGTGGTTTACATCTCTCGTATAACTTGCAAGCTATTATACGAGAGTGCAGGTTTACCCAGTGCACCAATATAGTTGGTTGTGGATTCCTTCATTACCAAAAAAAAAAAAAAAGTGTAGGTTCACCCTGTACACCTATCTAGTTGGTTGCGGATGGAAAAAAAGATGGAAACATACCTCAGCAATTTTTGTAATGACCAGTGTCAGTGGGGCCGAATATACAAAACAAATAGCGTAAAAAAATTAATAACAACAATGATTGTTCAAAGAGTGACAAGTTTAGGATATTGATACATGGTGGGCTTCAATTTTCGAGGGTTCGGGGGTAGCGCCCTCGAAAAAACTTAGGATTTTTGTTATTTTTAGAAGAATATAGGAAAATGAAAACTTCGGACATTTTTTGCATTAATTTGAATTTGGGTGGACTAAATAATAACCATTTAATGGGCTTGAATCCGTTCTTCCCGATATTGGACTCGCCCCTTGTTCCAAGTCACCTAATTTCCTTATCCTACTTGTTCGAATTATTTATTATTTTTATTTGTTTTCTTCAATTAAAAATATTTGTTATTATTTTGTATATAAAACTTAATTGTTAAAAATTATAGAAGCACAATATAAATACTATAAATTATATATATATATATATATATATATATATATATATATATATATATATATATATATATATATATATATATATATATATATTAAGAGTAGTAAAAAAAAAAAATTTGAGGGGCCATGGCTCTTCCTAGCTCTACACTAACACTATACTGTTGCACAAACATTAAAAAAAAAAATCACTATAGACCTTTGCTCAAATGGTCAATCGTGTGAGATTTAATATTAGAATCACGCAATTCACGGCAAGGAAAAAATATTAGACAATTTCCGAAAGCAATGGATCCTTGTCTTGGCGCATTAATATCAGCAAATTAATAAAATTAACATGATCTATACATTATTATTTCATATTAAATGCTAATTCATCTAGAGCTGGCTGGCCACGTGAATTTTTGTTTAATAGTAGAGTTGACTTTTGTGTTTCTTTATCATGAAAATAAAATATTTTACTCAGTACTCAAACCGCAGTGGAACCCACCCCTAAATTACAGCAGTGTTTGGGTGAATTCGTCTTTACATGCGTTCAAACACTCTTCTTATTTCTTGATTTGTAGGATGGATCGGTTATTTGTAAAACTCAAATATATTATGGATTTTGAGTGGACCCAATTTAACAATTGATTTATTGGATTATTAATTGGGGATATATCTCAAAATTTGGATGTCATATATTAAAAAGAAAAGAACAGAAGAAAGAGGTAACATAAAAGATGTTAAGTTGCTCGCTATGGAAAAAAATAAATTAAAAGGGATGGGTTTATCTAATATTTTTTTCTGCTTATATGTAATGAAGGGTGAATTTGAGCTAGACCCATGAAATGAAGTTTCACTATATTTTAATCCACCTTTTAACTTTCATTTAAAATAAATACATAAAAATATGAATTTTCAAAATAATCCTATATATTTCTATTTGACATAAACCGGGGCAATTTTTTTTCTAGTGTTGTTTTGAGAAAAAAATTTCAATGTTTTGTGTGTAGTAAACAAATTGGGGTTGAGCGCCACTCCATACGGCGGCATCGGCGGAGGCGCCACCACCGACAACGGCACCGGCAGGAGACGCCATCTCCAACGGCGTCTTCTCTGGATTTTATAAATATTTATATATATTTTTTTTAATTTTTGAACGGTCTAGATTGCCCAACCGAAACTTTGATCCGACGGTCCAGATCAAGACAGCCAGCCTCAGGGACCGAGCTTTGACCTGAAGACGCCGCTAACAACGACGTCTCGTGAAGACGCCACCGACATTGGCGTCTTCATTCTCTCTCCTCCCCACACGTCTTCCTCCCCCAGCTGAAGCTCAACTCCTCCTATGTTAAATTTAAAAAACAAAAGAAAATTTGATTTTAAAATTCAAAATAAAATATATAATTACTTCCGGCGCCCTCCTCCGTTGGTGCCGCCGCCGACTGGTCTCTCTATTCTCGCCCCCGCCACCGCCGGTGCTCCGTGGTCCTTGCCGCCGGTGCTCTTCACCCAACCAAGATAATTTTTTATTATTATTGTAAATAATTAAAAAAAATTATTAGTATAATTTTTTATTATGTCCAAACTTTTAATTAATTATTGTAAATACATGTGATTAGTGTTTTTTAGGAAGCATGTGGGTAGTTAGTAGTTTATTTATTTTATACTAGGTATTAGTACTATTTATATTTTATAAGCATGGGCAATTTTTTTCTTTGGGTGTTGTTTTGTAAAACAATAACTAAAATGGTGTTGTAAAACATTAGGGGAAGTGTGCTTAATTAAATTATTATTTTTTAACTAATGTGCCTCATTATTAATTAATGAAGTGTGCTTAATTAAATTATTATTTTTTAACTAATGTGCCTCATTATTAATTAATCTTGATTGATGAGTTAATTATCTCCATAATCTTTTGAAGATTGATGGCGGCTAAAAATAATGTCAAAGTGTACGTGTACTTTGGAGGTCACGTAATTCCTGATGATTGGGTATTGCAATATAGTATTGCCCACGAAACAACATTCCGAATTAAACGTGACTTGTCCTTTGCACATTTTCTGTCAAAGTTGTATCAACGTCTAGATGTCGATGTTAATCATTTTGGGCTAAGAGTGTGTTGCAAATCTTAAATTTATAATGGAGAAAGAATGAAAGAGATGATTACCGAGAAGACAACAGATGAAGATTTACGAATGTATATCGATCCGGACGAAGGGAATGAGGCAATCGAAGTATTTGTTGAGATTGAACCGAAGTACATTGATAGTGCACCACCACAAATGAGCGTAAAGGCATTTGATTTGAATGAACCATATTTCTCACAACCACAGGTGAATCCGGATTTTCTGGCGGCGACACAAGGCATCCCTAACTATTGTGAGACTAGTGGAGCGAGAGAGTTGCACAGAGATCCCTATACGATTAACTATGGTAATTTAGGGGGATTTGTTGGTGAGTCGAGTTCCCCGAGACAGAGCATATTCGAAGATGACCCTATAGGTGACTCATTTGGGCCGAACAGTCCTGTGAATTCCATCCGATGACGGAGACGATGACAATGAAGATGAAGACGTACAAGATGATGTTCGGGAGACGTGGTTGCAGCACAACGAGGCAGAAGCAGAGGAACAACCGATGTTGTATGAGTCAATCCCATTTTTCTCGATGTCGTTTCCATAAGTGGAGGCATATTCAGCTGATGTTGGAAGGGGCCGATATGATAAATTTTACGATAGCGATCGAGGTATTCTTGAGGTCGGGATGGTGTTTGAGGACAAAAAACGCCTTTGCGCCGCGGTGAGAGACCATTCGATTCGATTTGCTAAACGGGAATTCCCAATTGTCGAAAGTAAGCCGAAGCTATGGAGTGTCAAGTGCAAGCATAGCACACCTGAAAGGCCTTGTAGATGGTCATTGCGGGGAATTGAAAAATCAGGCAAAGGATTCTTCCTTATTACGAGATATGGTGGGCCCCGCAATTGCATAATGGATGAAATTTCGAATGAACACAAGAATTTGGACAGGAACTACATTGCTTGCTTATTGGTTCAGTCCGTCCGAGATGACCCAGCTTGCAAAATAACACAAGCACAGAATATTGTGAGGTCTCAATTAGGATTTCAACTTTCGAAGATGCAATCTTGGTATGGTTTGAAGCGTTGCAGAGATAACTTGTTCGGGAGTTGGGAGTCCTCTGTGAACAAATTGCCCAAGTTGATGAAGGAACTCCATAACAAACCCGGGTACGGCAATTGAGTGTGTTTTCAAACCAACGGACATTCCAACACGGAAGATGATCAAGTACTTCTTTTGGGCCTTTAAACCATGCTTGGATGGATTCGAGTTTTGTCGAAAAGTTATTAGTGTGGATGAAACTCATCTCTACACTAAGTACAAGCACAAATGGCTAATTGTCGTTAAGTACAAGCACAAATGGCTTGGAGGTGGTTTTTTCAAATGCTACACATACATCTAATTTCTCAAATTCCAGATGGAGATAGCGTTTTTGTAATTTCAGATCGAGCTCGGGGAATTTTACGAGCTTTAGAGGAGTTGCCCGAATTTGCTCCCCCTAATGTTTTTCACAGGTTTTGCTTGAGACACGTGTGCTCCAATTTCAACAAATGTTTCAAGAGTGTTGATTTGAAGGATCTATGCTACACAGCGGGAGCGGAGTCTTAAATTTGGAAGTTTAACCACATTTTTAATGTGATCAAAACTCGGAACGTTGAAGCTTACAAATATTTGAAGGATATTGATCAAGAAAAATGGGCATTTCCACATAATGGGGGCAAGCGTTGTGGTCAACTTACTACAAACATGTCAGAAGCTCATAATGGTGTTCTCAAGGGAACTCGAAAACTTCCCATCTCAACAATTGTTGACCTCACATTCAACCGCATTGTTAGGTATTTTTTTACTCGTCTCCACGAGGCTAATGTGATTGTTCTAAATAGACAATTGTGGTCGACATATGCTTATGGCATTTACCGGACACATGAAACTAACTCTGTTATGGTAGGATTTGGGGTTTATATGGAGATGATGGTGATGATGATCCACACCCTAGAGTGATGCAGTACTTAATTGATACTAGGTTCTATGGAGTATATCGATGTGGTAGTCTCGTAGTCAATTTGCATCTTATTGCAGCTTCAGTGGAGAGATGGCGCCCGGAGACACACACGTTTCATTATCGAGCAGGGGAGGCGACATTGACACTTGAGGATGTCTCACTATTATGGATTTTGCCTGTTGATGGACTACATGTTACTGGACAGGATATTTCATGGTCGAAGGAGCAGTGGCAGGTTTATTGTCAGACGTGGTTGGGATATGGTCCTTCAGATGCAGCTTTCAAAGGAGGACGGCTCTTTGCAACTGATCTGGACCTACATTTACGACATTGCACGATTACTGATGACAGCACGGAGCAGCGTATTCAGCAGCATACCAGGTGTTTACTGTTATTGCTACTTGGGGAGGTTATGTGTCCTGACACATCTTCAAGTGCAATCTCGTTGTTGTATCTTCGCCATTTCGAAGATCTTGAGGCAGTGCGTACTTTCAGTTGGGGTAGTGCAGTTCTTGCATATTTGTATCGTGAGCTATGCACTGGGGCTTTACATAGGAAAGTTGTGGAACAAGGCGGCACTGTTGAGTTGGATAAGAGGCTAACTAATCTAGGTGGTGTGCTTACTTTGTCACACGTAATATGATTTTTAATACTTTTAAAATTAAAATTAATAGTTTATTATACTTGCGGTTTTTGATATTTTTTATGTTTAATAATTAGTGTTGGGCTGGTCGAGGATACCTTTACTCGCTCTAGCAATACTACCAGTAGTAGAAGATGATCCCCCGACGGCTTGCATATCCTCACCCTCCTTACGGTGCACATAAACATCTTAGAACTAATAATTTATTTATATGAAGGTTAATAAATTGACTTAGCAAATTTTCATATGATATTACAGTTGGATCAGACCTACTAGTTACACTCGGTCCTCGCGAAACAATATACGTGTTTATCGTACAACATATACCACCACATACTACTGATCACGATATTGAGATTAATTTGCATTCTTATGATCGTCAAGGTGCAGGGGGTAGAGATTGGGCTCGTTTTCACCGTATCTATGTTGATAGATGGCATGGCCCACTTGATTCTTCCGTTGACTATCCATTTATTGAGTTTAGTGATACGTGTAGCACCCCCTCTATTATAGGCGATAAATCGAACCAATTTATCGGAATTAAGTTATTTAGCGGAAGCAACTTATAGGATCACTTTTAAAATACGAAAAATCAACACTTGTGATTTCAAAACCATACTTGAATATTTAGAATTCTGGTAATTTTCGCAACATTTTTTTGAAAAGCTTGAGTCGATTATATATATATATATATATATATATATATATATATATATATATATATAGAGTGCTACACTATCATGAAACATAGGTTTGAAATTAAAATCAGAGTTTAGAAATATTTTGGCGATAAACGATTAAAGCACGAAATATACGAACTATTCATAAACATAAACGGATCAATATATTATAGAGTTCAAAATAGGATCCGTTACCGATTAAAGTCCCGTACTTTAAAAACGAGTACGATAGTAAACGAAACGGAAGTTACTTTATATTACATCACCAAAATAGTACTTAGCCACACTTATAGAACCCTCGTTCGAACTCCCAAGAAACTCCGGGCAAGACTTCAATCCACTACTCGGTCCATTCCGGGGGAGGGTTACCACTAGCACTACCTCCAATTAGAAAATATCTATATGAGCTATTAAGCTCAGTAAGAAACTCGAGGAATTACCGAGGGTTGAAAATAGGTTATACATATATATAGTACATATAACATTCCGATCACCTTCACCGAGTCATACAACATCAAACAAGAATCGAGTCAAAAAGTACTAAAGCATATAAGTCACAAACATGCTCATGAATGCAATCCGTGTAAAAATCATTTTTTTTTCATTTATCGGATCCGTGAAAGATTAATTTCTATATTCGGATAATAAACCGTTTCGAGCCCGTCTATGGATCCAATATCACTCATATCACTCCTCTCAACCCTAGTTGCATACCGGCCCACCGTATCCGATTCGTTTATTACCCAAACATTCCATTAATCTTTCAATTTTGTCAAAAGCAAATGCATGTCATGTCATAGCCCCAAAACTTACAATGCCAATTGCAAAGGAACGTATTCTAATAATGGTTTGCTTTAGCTTATTATCTTAACTTTATTTGGTGGTTTATACATGTTGGCAAATCCCATTTGCTCAAAAAATGCACAAAGTGAAAAAAATCAGAAATCTAAAACATGAATGAATAACAAAACAAGTTACAAAAAATAGGACGCTCGACTCAAATTTCTCTTTTTGGCAAACAAATTAAGGATCAAGAAAAAAGAACTGGATCACAATTGCTACGAACAAAGTACTTGCGAACGAAAAAAAGAAAAAAAAAATAAAAGAAAAACTTTTCTTGGAGGTGCATGTTTAATTTGTGTCTTTTAATTTGAATTTGTTAGAATTTATTTCGTGCAGATATAAATTATTTGTGTCAGATTCAATTTTTCGTTACTGTTGCGTGAAGTGTTGTAATAGTTCGTGAAGCAGTTCGTAAAAACAGAAATAAACGAGACACAAATTTTAATGTGGTTCGGATACAATTGTACCCTACATCCACGGGGATCTGCAAATAAAATTTACTAATTTTTAGTTTTACGAATACAATAATAAGACTTAATCAAAATACAAAGACTCCCTCTTTGTTGACGCCGTTCTTCTATACTACGCTGAATTATAAATCTTCAATTTGCAGCACGTCCCTTGCTCCGCACGGTTGAACTCCCTTCAACGCTGAATCCCTCAGTCGGCGGATCGATCTCCTCCCGAGATCTGTTTAAGCCCCTCTCCCGAAGAACCGATCTTCTTTTTGTATAGAAGAAGCAAACTTGTGATACTCCTTGAATCTTGGTGTCTTCACCACAAAGACTTAAAGTCGATATATTTACTATGAAAATCACGTATCACGATGGAACTATAAAAACGAGAGCCAAGAATATTTTCTCTGTATATTTTCTCTCGATCAAAGACGGAACTATAAAAACGAGAGCCAAGAATATTTTCTCTGTATATTTTCTCTCGATCAAAGACGTTCCATGCGCAGCAATAAGAAGAGCAGAAAAATATGTTTTTTCTCTCCAACGAAAGGAGTGCAATAGCAACAAAGAAAGCAGAGATCTGTTTCTCTCAGAAAAGACGCACGATCGAAACGCCGTGTTGTGCAGCTATTTATATTCTATGTTGAATAAAAGAGCCCTACAAAAGATTAAAACCCATTAGGTTGATAATCAATCTTTACGTAAGGAAATAAGAAATTGTGTAATAAAGAAAGTCTTTGTCAAAGAAAGTCCTTGTTAGCACATGACTTATACAATTAAATAAATTAATGAAAAAATAAGAGTTTAAAGCATTAAGGAAACTTCCCTAGCTTTAGACACACGTTTTTCACATACGTGCTGAAAAACCAAAATCAGAATCCTCTCGGATTCTAACAGAATTGAATGTGAAGAGTTTTTTTTTACGGCAGAGACAGACGTGGACAAGTGTTTGTGTGTGTGCGTGTATTTGTGTGATTCTTGGCACTCGTAATAACAATCGACCATAATTTTATCTTCTTTGAATTAATGGGGGAGAAACTCCAATGGAAAAAAAAGATCCAAAGCTTTATTTTAATTAATTTCGACTTTAGGCAAATTTCAAATTAAGTTCAATTTACATTGTTATGTGCTTTGGGTGTGCGCCAAAATTTGTGAAGATTCGTCAGAATATTCGCCCTAGGTGGTTAAGTAAGTCATAGTAACGGGTTGGGAGTGCCCGTGCAATATTTTTTTGTTAAGGTGACAAAGTGCAAAAAAAGCAAACTATAAGTGGCAAAATGCTATTAACCTAATATTACAATAACGGTCGAACAGATTTTTTGTTGACTTCATTTTCCACGATCTGAATCTGAAGTTTTGAATAATATAGTTGGAATTTTTGCATAATATGACCGATGTTTTCATAATATAACCGATAGTTTACCTAATTTGACTGAGTATTGCAATAATATTATTTTTTATGTAAATTACCCCCGAGGAAAGGTCTTACATTATCCTCATATGGTGTTACTTTTGACGGGATAATTACACTTTTGGTCCTTATAATTATCACCTAAAAGGATTTTCGATCTCAAACATTTGCCGCCACGAATTTAATCCTAAAACTTACAACTTTATGTCGGCCGTCTAATTTTCCTGTTAACTTTGACGGAAACCTCATGTGCATCTCACGTGACGTCCACTTGGGACCCGCAAATGAGCTGGACCAAAACTCTTTCCACCCCATCCTTACCTCTTATCACCTTCTTCCCCGCCATTTCCTCCACCACCTTCCGCTGCCTTTAACCACCTCTCAACCATCCTCCTTCGTCAAGTTTTTTCAAATAATAAAGAAAAATAGCCTCTGCAAATCCCAAGAAGAAGTATTAAATGGCTCCCTCACCTTGTACTTCACATAGGCTGGGACTCTTTAATTTATTCCCTACAATTAAGAAATGTTCGTGGAAAATAAATATGGGCCATATGCATTATTTTAATTGTCATCCATTGAAATGTGTGCCGTGTATCTGTGTATCTTTTCCTCTCCTTTTTTTTTTTTTTCTTTTTTCTGTTTTGTTTAATAGTGTTTTATTTGATTATATATATATATATATATATATATATATATATATATATATATATATATATATATATATATATATATATATATATATATATATATATATATATATATATATATATATATATATATATATATATATATATATATATATATATATATATATATAAGTAATGTTTAATTTTATGTTATTACTTGATTGTATTATATGTTTTTAGGGATTACGATATTAAATTTATTGGGTTTACTATTAATAGTAAAAGAAATGTTACATTTAGATTTATCGATAAAAAAACTTATATTTAAATTTTAATAAATTCAATTATAAAATATAATACACGAAACATTTATTTTGATCTTTTT